TTTAGCCCGCTGGCCATACATCTCAACGCCAGTGCTGCTAGACGGCCGGTGACTAGCTGTAAGTTTGCATCCATACAGCCGATACAGTCCTGAACCCCCAGAGGCGTGTCTGCGTTCACATGCCGTGCGTTGGTTATAAATATCCACAATGAACGGTGGGCAAACTGGATCGGATATAATGTTGAATGAAATAATATAATGGGACCTTTGATGACGACGGGTGGCCCCTTGTTACTACGAATTACTCCTTGAATCTTCAACGCATCACCTTCTCATCTGGCCTGTCAAGGGTAATCTCATGCATTTTTCCAGATTCAGATTCCAGATTCATGCGTCTTTCTCATGACGCCCGTATATAAGAAATGTGGTCTTCCACTTGAATTTGAGGACCATTTGATCAGTGTGTTTCATCTCCATGTCCCACATTTTTGGCAGCTAAAGCGACACACGGAATGTATTTGTACCTACGTGATGAGTTCATGGACAAGTTATACCGCTAACTGGGGTTGCAGCTGCATTCCCAGTGTTCCAGAAAATATCCATCAGGTATGTTGCTGTGCGTGGTGAGAATGAGTATCGCGATCCTTTTAAACTCAAAACGTTCCTGCTTTTGTGCTTCCTCCTTTGATCCACTATACAGGAGCTCGACCGAATATAACTCCTAATTCTAATGATCTTGCATTCTTTGCAGCCTGCAAAGTGCACAGCTTTTTCAACATAAAAACTTTGGTTCGTACAGACTACGCAGAGAACTTGACAAGAACGTACCTTCCGAGATTGTAAACGAACTGTAGTTGAATCATTCGAGAGGTTCTGCATCGCCATATTTCATAAAGTGCCACCTATTTGTCAAATGCACCAAAAAGAAAATTATATGCAGGCTACTTGGCGGACAGGCGGACACGCTTACCAGTGACTTGATTTAAAGGGCTGATAGGGTTAATGCTGATTTGATAGTTGAGGTCAAATTAGATACGGTTTATTCGGATAATAACATACCCAAAATAAGAGTACCATAACATTTCACCAGGCATAGGACCAGCCAGGCAAGAGAACAAACGGAGCCGTAACGGATTCTACGTGCACTTTATCTTGACCGTCACGGTTGAAAGAGGAGCAAACTGAAGGCTACTAAATCATGAGTGAACAACGGCATATGCGAGCAAACATTTCACATGCTTTCTCGTTCAAAGTAGAACAGTGCGCGCGCGTTAAAAAGTGAAACACCAGTTATGATCGCCAACAGTAAGGCTGCGTGAATATCTAAGCAGCACAAATGAATACAAAACCAGTTGGAACACCCGCTACTGACTACCCTGAACTCCAAGCGACAGCTTAACTTGTAGTGTTTGCTGGAGCGCGTTTGCTGAACTCAAGCATCGTTATTTGCGCGTGTTTTGGCAGCTACTTTTGGCACTCTTGTATATTTGTCGGTAACATTCACACGCTCGGTTGCGGCGTAATTCTAAACTTATTTGTCTTATTTCCGTCACAACACATGCCACTGTCCAAATTCCTGTTGCATGTACCTTAAACGTGATTCGTGTTCGAAACTAACCCCTTACGTATGCAAGGCCAGCTGATATCCGCTGATCCCGTAAATCATGCTGATGCGCGCCAGATACGAATGATTCGATGGTCGTATCTTTCTTGACCTTGAACACAGCGTGGCCAATAAGGTGATCGATTCATGTAATGTTTCTATGGCTTCATGCATGTTTGGGTGACCTTGAAATAGTCTGCAGGAAAAGTCTGCACATTTGCGCGCAGCGTCAGGCAGAAACAAGAGGTTTTTCAGTCTTAAGAAGAACATGACTGAGCATTGCATTGAGTGATCTTCAAATGGCTACCTTAGTTCAGAACATTACAGAAATGTGGAACGCCCCTTTAAGGCCCCAACGCCGCGGTGGCGGCACGCGACGCCGCCATGCCATCACGCCCCCCCCCCCCCCCCACACGCGACTGAGTCGACGACACGCTCGTGGACAGCAGATTCAGGTCAGCAGCGAACTCTAGACGCGGCGTGACGTCCGTGGCTGAGGGGCCGCAACAGTCGTCGGACTCGCAGCTCGCAGAGCGACTCGTTTTTTGCGGAGCGCAGCGCCTTGGTCTCCAGCCGGTGGGAGCGGTCTCCTGTGCTGCGGGACCGCCGGGGCTTTTTTCCATAGTGGGTCCGTGGTCGGCAAGGGGGCCTCTCGTACACGTAAACCGGGCTGCAGAGGAGACCTCTTGACCGCCGGTATTCATGTCCCGCCTGCTGCGCCCCGTGCTCTGTCTGCTCTGTGGTCGGGCGGCAGGACGGCGTCCGGAACGGGGGCGTCAGAGATGCGTTAGTACAAGGCACACTAGTTCTGGTTAGTCTACCGAACAATATCTGAGCGGGGTTCAGTTGGACGTTCTGCCGCGGGGTGTTACGCAGCTCATGGCAAACTTACATAGGTCATCTCCACTCCGAGAAGTTTTTCAGAGGCGTTTCGGCAATTTTGACGGCGTACTTCGCCGTAATATTCGGCAGACTGCGGTACGGGGGCGACGTGCCGTGGTTCGATGGAACAGCAATCCTGGAACTCGTGCGAAACGAACTGATGTCAGTTGTAACTTACGATCATTGCGGGGGTGTCATGCCTTGCAAAATGACACGTGAGTTTGGAAATGATGGGTGGTTTGAGGTAGGTGAATCTACCTCTA